TTTACTCCCTAAAGAGTAAAAATGCTACTTTAGACCCGCAACGGATGCATTGAAAACGACTGTTTTTACTGCAGTATAACAAAAACAATATAATATGAACCCTTGATGACTCCGCTTAATTTTGTGGATGCCTCTGCAAACGCCACCTAGTAACATCTATAACTTTTCAAAATGGAAAATGATCTATTGTGGTGTACCTCAGGGCTCTATGTTGGGACCCTTGTTGTTTTTAATCTATATTAACGACCTGCTTTTTAACATAAACTCAAAGCGTGTTCTATACGCAGATGACACAACGGCCATATTAAAATCAAACAGCCCTAACAATTTACAAAATTTGATAAACCAAACTTTTGAAGATTTAAACAAATGGTTCACAGCAAATGGGCTGAGTCTTAATTGTTCTAAAACTCAAATTATTAGGTTAAAAACTACTCATGACAGAGAAACCATTGAATTAGATATTAATTTTCAGGGGGAAATTATTAATGAAACGTCATCTACAAACTTTTTAGGCATTAAGGTACAAAACACTTTAAATTGGGATAAATACACATCAGTTCTAGCTAATAAACTAAATACAGTCTGTTTCCAGATGTCTGTCCTGCAGCATGTTACTGACCTCAGGACAAGGATGATTGTCTATTATGCTTAGTTTGTGTCAAGCATGTTGTATGGAATAGAGTTCTGGGGCAGCACAGCTGCTCAAATGCCAAAACCATTTTCAAAACTCAAAAAAAGATCCTTAGAATTATGACATTTTAAAAACCTATGCGATCCTGTAAATTATTATTTAGAGAATTGAAAATATTAACACTTCCGTCAGTTTATATCCAGCAAACATTAATCTTTATAAAAAAAATCTTGAATCTTTTATGAATGAAAACCATAACCATAATTATTTAACACAACATCGAAATGATTTGCAACTGCCCATTCATAGACTTTCCTCTCTAGAAACCCTCCCACAATATCTAGGGAAAAAACTGTATAATAAACTGATGCCTGAAAATGTTAAATTGTTAGAATCTTTTGAAAAATACAAAAAAGAAGTTACCAAATTGCTGCTTAATAAAGGGTGAATGAATAAATGAATATATATATAGTTTATTCCAAAAAAACATTAGCTACAAACTGTGGTTATAAAATAAAATACAGTATATTAGACAGAGACTTTGTCACTAAAAATACATACGAGTTTTAATAAAGCCAAAATATATAACAATAAAACAACCTGTTTCCCAGCTATGCTGGATCTGTAAAACGTTGTGTGAAAATAAATGATTGACTCGACTTGACTAGAAAGAGAATTGATTCAGCAAAAAGCCCTAAATGATGAGTTAAATTAAAACAATCTAGTAGGGAGGATTATTTTACACAAATACTGAAACAAGACCTGGATAAGACTAAAGCAAAAAATAAAAACCTTCAAGCAGCAATACAGATTGTGATTGTACAGGAAGAAAATAAAAAGCTCATGCAAGATATTCAGACTAAGAATGAAAGTAGGTGTCTTCACTGTTTCCCTCCAATGGAAAACCATATAAGGATAAACAATGGCATTTGGTCAGGCAAAAATCAAGAACAGGGATGAATCCTAGTAACAATGAGACAAATTTTGTATGCAATAACAGCTATGACATACTTATATTGGATGAAGCGGAGGGGGAGACAGGAGCAAATATAACATTGGTAACTGAAAATAAAAATTACAACAGCAATAAAAGACAACAAAAATTAAAAAGAAAACATGGTGAAAAATTAAGTGAATTAAACAAAAAGAACGAGAAATCTAAACTTATTATTCTCAGGGATAGCCACGGAAAAAACTTAGGACATCTAGTTGAACAGAAAACTTAATTAAATGTATGCTAATTTGTAAGGCCAGGAGCTAGAATGGAGCAGGTTATTGAAGAAATTGAAACCCATACGAAAAAACTTACAATGAATGATTACCTTCTGGTAATCGGTAGCACAAACAACGTAGAGTGTTCTGACGCTATACAAATAACAGATAGTGTTTGTTCATAATCTTATTAAGAAAGCACAGCATACAAATTTGTTACTAGCTTCCTTACCGATGAGGCATGACAGGACAGACTTGGACATCAAAATCTCAAACATCAACTCTGTACTTGAAAGGATTGCTGAAGATCATTTACAAGTGGGACTTCTGCCTTTGCACTTGTTGCCAAGACATTATTTCACTGACCATGGACTACATTTTAATAGGTGAGGAAAATCTAATATTGTTCAAAAAGTTGCTGCCATATTAACAAAATCCACCAAAAATTATTTTGACCAAAAAGACAAAGCTGTAAATTATATAAAGACCTATACTACCAGCAAAATCAATATTGTAGAGGTGGACATGTTTGATGCAATGGATCAATGGAAAATGGATGTCTCGGCTGCTTTTGCACATAACATATCTGCTGATTTCTCCAATCCTCAACACACGTCAGCTGGTGTTGCAGTAAAATTCAGGAGAAAATGTTGTAAACCCATTGCTTCAGATTATGTTTCGGAGAAATTAATGTGTCAGGAAATCAGGGATGGAGCTGTTGTTTATAGTCTGGTAACAAAACCAATATATTACACCAACCATCCTCTCGAGACTACGATAGCGCCTTCAAGCAGTTGACAAATGTCTTTGGAAATTGTAATGGAGGAGATAAAACCAAATATTGTTGTTTTGACTAAGCATAATATGACAAAAGGTAATCTAGAAAGATTTAATTTAAATCAATTCTCATTATTTACATCCACCGAAGCTGTGTAATGGGACTTGCCTTCGTGTTCGTCGGCTGCACAGATATGTCATCGAGGTAGACATCCTGATAGGATGTGGAGCTGGGGAGGTGGTATTTATCCCCAGAATTCCATTAATCCCCAGCAACTATCGATTACAGTCGCCTACCTTAAAGCGCCTACAGTTTTCCGTCACTGTATGCTTTGCTATGACCATCAACAAAGCTCAGGGTCAGACACTGTCGACAGCTGGCGTTGAATTATAGATGAGGATGTTTTTCTCACAGACAGCTCTATGTTGCATGTTGTAGAGTGTGATCATCAAGAAATTTATTCCTCCATTCCCGATGGTCGAACGGCCAACGTTGTTTACGAAGAAGCCCTTCGTTAACAAGGGTCAGATCGTAACTGTTCCAGTGTTTTCTTTCTATTTGTCATTACCCACCGTTATTTATTATTTGTCGTTAGGTATTTATCATTTGTTCTATTACCTACTGTTAAAAAAATTGCCAGATGTAAATATTTCTTTGTGTTCCAATTTTTTCTCATAGCTTGGTCAACTTTATTCATTTAGCATGCACTTATAATTACTAAACCTCTTTGGGTACAGATTTATGGTTTAAAATGTATTTTTTAATTTATTTTCTTTATTGTGCTCAATCAACCAATTTTTTTTTATATAAATGATATAAAATCACTCTGGAAAGTCATCATTCCACATAATCAAACTTCAAACGACACTTTCCATTGAGGTGATACTACAAGATAAAAGTTTCAACCGAGCACCAATATGTAATTATTTTGTTATCGGTTTGATTGCATTATTTATTGTCATAACGTACAAAATATGGGTACATAACCATACTACATACATACTTAAGATAATCAGATGACTAGCACTATTTTTTAGTTAGTTTTAGATATTGTTAAATGTTTCCTATTTCATTATATGATATTAAATTTAAATCAATTCTATTTTGATATGCTTACATTATTTTATAAGATAGTTTTAACTGATGTTAAGATGTTTTAATAGGTCAAAGTTTCTCATATCTGATGATTTATCTTCCAATGCGAAGCACGGGTACAGCAGCTAGTCCATATATAAATCCCAAAGTACCCATGAACTTTTGAGAAAACTAAAAGTCACACCACCTTAAACCATATACTTAAAATTTTCTTCATGCAAGAAACCTTGTGCAAATCTATCCATTATTTCATAAATTGCCCTTTAAGGTCGCAATTCCTTTCTAAAGGGAACTTTCTACCGGTACCCAATGTAAAAAATACCTCAGCTGTGCTTATTAATTTGTTATTCTTTCAATGTATTAACTTATTAAAATCAGGAGCGATTATTTGTTTGTATTACTGTATTTAAGCTTAAGTTTACAAACAAATAGTTTCATTAATACTTATGAAGTCAAACGGGGTGAAGCCCGTGGGTAACAGCATTGATGTAAAACATACTCCCTTAGTGGATTTGTCATCCTTATGGAACAGCTGAAGCCAATTTTATTGTTAGTTCTGTAAGTCCAACTGTGGAGGTTATGTTTCATTTACATTTTATTTCTTCTTATTTCAGTCATTTAAAACCTCGTTTAGCCGAATAAAACGGCCTAATCATAAACAATAACTGATAACCAAATAGTAAAGCACAAATCATGAAAATAACCCTAAAATAATAGAAACAAAATTAAGCTGTCAGTGTAGACTTAAATAAACTAGACACAAAAAACAAGCTTCAAAATTTACAATGGGATGAGGAGTCTACTTGTGTTGCTTAGTCTATGGTAACAGCTAGTGCTAAATGAAAGTGTTCTTGACATTTTTTTCATAAAATCAACCATTTTTAGTAATTTAAGTTTAAAAGATTAAAATGGCTACCATTTTAAAATTTTAAGTTTAATCAAGATAAATTTTCTTTCTAACATGGGTATCTTATACCTAAACATACATACCCAAGTTTCATAATAATCGGTTGAAAAAATGTTGAGATAAAAATGTGTATTTTAAAAATACAAAATGTACAACAATATACAAATAAAAAATATCTGGTTAAAAAAGCTATTTTGGAAAGATTTTTTTTATTTTCTCTTTATTTTGACCTAAGGAATCTCTACATAAATTAACCTATTAAAATATCACCTTTTTTGAACACCCTGTATACATATAACAAAAAATTCGGGTTTTTTTCAATTAGTCTTGGAGAAGGAAAAGTAGTTACTACCACATGTCGGGTTGTAGAAGGATTTTGGACAATGTATTTAAAACTTTATTATTTATATCAAAATACATGATACATAAATATTTGAGACATATACTCTTGATTCAAATAAAATATTAACAACACTGGAAATCTAAATGTTTCTGAAGAAATTAACAAACCGATAGTTTAACAATAATCTAAATGTATCTAACTAAATATGAACAGTTAAAGCAGAGCAGCACAGACTATGACAAGGCACAAGTAATATATCACAGCCTTCTACATAATATTACAAGTCTCACCCATGGTACAGTGGGCTTGAGGACAGGTGTAACATTAACATATAAAACGTTTTTTTTTTGTCTTAGGATGCTAGCAGTGGCGTAACGGGAGGGCAGGAGGCCCGCCTACCGGTGAGCGGGAAACGGCGAGCAGAAACCGGCGAGCAGAGAGGCCCGCAAGATGAGTGGAGCCGAAAAATTGGAATTCATTCTTATTGAAATTTATAATTGATAATAATTGTATTATAGAAGTAATAACATTAAAGTTATTAATATGTTTTCATCGCTTAATTTTGTTAGGCCTATTCAGTGGTGATGAACTAAGTTAACAAATTGAACATTTAAGGTTAACAAAATTTTAAAACATTTCGATGAACTAGCAGAGGACGAACGCCTATAGGATCTTGACCTTCATTTAAAAACAGTTGTATATCATGGAACTTTAGACACTGCAATAAATCAAATGACTTAAATATTTGAGGGGATGAACAATGTATATTTTCTGGTCTCACCTCGAAGTTTTTATCGTTATCTACAGACAAACATTTAATTGTTAAATCAACAGAACTAGCTGCTGAATATAACGAGGATTTCCTCACTAAATGATCACTTTTCGAAGGACCTTGAAAGCAGGAATCTTAACAAAGAAATCAGTAAAAAGAATTTGTGAACTTTTGTGAATTGAATACTATTCTGTTGCTTGCAGCGTCCCAGATGGTAGGACTATGCACAGCATTAATTTTTTTTAACATAGCTGACTGTCTCATCAACTGAAATGTAATTTTCGTGGTTAAAGTTGATTAAACACTATCTTCGAAGTACCATGTCTCAAGAAAGGCTTAGTGGGCTAAGAGTGAAGCAGCAACAGTGATTGATTTTAAAGAGGTCATAAAAGCATTTGCTTCACAAAATTCCGTGAGCAAATTCAAGTGAAGAAGAACATTTTGAATAGCAGTGGTTAAAAAATTATTGTTTTACTTGGTTTTAGTTATAATGAGTAATTTTGGTATTCAAACATCAATCAAGTTTTTTATAAATTGTAAGTTAAGCTAATTAAGTCCAAGAAGTTATTAATTTTTCAAAATTTACTAATTATTAATTAGTACGGTAAAAAATTAATTTTTTTTACAATTTTCTATAAGGAAATAATTATTTTACATTTTAGTTGTTCCCTATAATATTTAATTGGGTTTGTTTTAAGTTGAAATACATATTTTGCTACTCTACTGACTTTGTGTGTTAGCCTATTTGTTATTTTACCTCACAATTAATTCATCAAACCATGACTGAAATACTTAACATGTCCTTTTAGAAAACATTACCCATAATTTATTTACTACTCAATTTATGATAAAACAACTGTTTGATCATTGTATCGGAGGCCTAAAAAAGGCAGGGAAGAGAAGGGAGGATGTTTGATTATGTTGTATTGGTGGTCTAAAAATAACTCGTAAGAGGGGGGCCGGAAAAATAAGTTTGCAGGGGGGTCCGAAAAAATCGGTTACGCCAATGGATGCTGGGCACAAGCCTGGGATTGTTTTTCAAATTAATTCAGGCTTATAAAGAACGTAAATAAATAAACACAGTTTTGACATAACTATTATAATTAACATCAGTAACATTAAAAACTCTCAAACCACTGTTTTCAAATAAACTGCTTAGTTATATTGGGCTAATCTTGACTTTAATTAATTTGGCAGACTTTAATTTATAAAATCCCATCAATTATTAAAATCCTAAAAGAAAACATTTTAGAAGACTACAGAAAATAACAGTCTAATCATTGTGAGCAATTGATTCTAAAGATAAGTTAATTGTTTCATTGGTTTTTAAATACCGGTATGTAACCATCCAACCATATTATAACAAGGCTTTCAATTTAGAACTGCATATAAAAAATTTGTTTGAGATTAAATTTCAATGAAGATTTTTTTTATGTTTTGTGGTTACCACGTCCCGAAAGCAGGAAATCTCACTGATGGTTTCAATATAGACACTTCCCGGTAATCAATGCATTAGGTCTTAGAAGTACACACTATTAAAACATTAAATTAACCTCAACACACTTTGACACTAACACCAAGCACCCATTAACAAAACCCTACTTAAACTACAAATCAAAGAAATATATTCAACATCCTACCTGTACAGGACTAGATATAACACTTACAGGAAAAACTGTAAAATAATAATAAAAAAATAAAAAAATTACAAACTTAACAATAATTACAGTTAAAAACCTAAATTAAGGTTGTTTATTAAAAAGTAAAAACAAAATATTAAATTTATATTTTGTGCTAATTAAAGAATAACAATAATGAGCTATAATACCCCTGCCGCAGCAAACCTGCCGACTAAGCGAATTTCCATTTGTCTGAAATGATTTTCAATTAAATCTATTTAAATAACATTAGGTTTAACGAGTACCTAGGTTTGCTGCTACAAGGGATCTAACAAAGTGCGTTTTTTAGTAAAATATTAATAGCTTAGTATAAAATGAATAAAATTGCCAAGTTTGATCAAAATATATCCATTTACAAGCAAACTACAACATTTTACAATATTCTCCATAAGAATAACATAGGAATTTTTAATTTTCAATTTTTGGAATTTTCTCCGTTACCAATAACCGTACAAAAACACTTTTGCATACTAAATTATTTGTTTTTTAAGCTCTTTAAAAAGGTCTAGAGAGAAATTGGGAAATTTTGTGTTTTGAGGGTCAAAAATTAGAAAAACCAATTTTTACCCCATAAAACACCCCGTAAAACCCCGTTCCCATGGTCCGATCATGCTGGTTCGCGAACTCATTCAAGTTTATCTTGCCTTACACCTTTAACCCTTTCAGTGCTAGGCCAATAATTCATATTTTGTAAGACTTTTTTGTTTGCCTTTTAATTCCATTACCTGTTGTTGAATTTTAACTGTCATGTTGTCACTATTTTATTAATTAGGCTAATTTTGAATAATAACACAATAAGAAAATATATAAGAAAGATAAATCCCGGTATTTGTAGTAAACATTAAATGAAACTTAGTTTTTGTTGTAATTTTCCTGGCTTTCCTATAAATTTTTATGTTCTGATAGCATTATTTGAAACCAAAATCTCATAAAATCAAAAGACATATAGTTTACAATGTAATATTGAATTTAACCTTGATTTATTTGGACGAGGTTATCCTAATATAGCCATTTTAGGGAAACTAATGTTTTGCAGCAAAGTCTCAGGAACACATTTACTACTACTAAAACTAAAAGATTGCATCTAAATAGTCCGTGACTAACTGGTGCTGCTACCTAGTAACGCATTGAACAACCATCTGCAGCGCCATCTGTTCGCAATCGGTGGCGACAGCTTAAATACGGGTTTTTGACTCCCCAGTCTTCAAGCACAGATAGCCGAGAAGGCTAGGGCGTGTGTCACTTGGCCAGTGGCATTCGTCTGCTCGGGTTCGAATCCCGTCCTGTGTGGCAAATAATTGGTGACCTGTGTGTTTGTAGCGATATACTACAACCACTGGGGCATAGTGAGGTGTTCATAATCCTTGGTTTAGACATACACATCGAAATCATCGGATTGGGCGAATCTTTTAGCTAAGTGGTTGGTAGTGTATCCTATGAACATGCAGGTCACCAATGGCCGTTTTGCTATTTTTTTTTTTAAATAACCTTCCTCTCTATATCCCTTAGGGTTTTTTTAAAACAACGATATATCGTTTCATAGCACTGAAAGGGTTACACCAAATTTCATCAAAAACGGACAAAAATTATTTAAGTTATCGCGTTCACGGACACATATATATATATTAATAAATAATATGTAAAATAACATGAGTACCCTTTTTTATATTCTTTTTTTTTATTTAAATCTATATATATATATATATATATATAAAAAATTTTACGAATGCTGTTTTTGGCCTCTGGGGACATCAAAATGAAAAAGTAAATCGGTCCCGGGCCTAGGTCTTACCATGCCACCTACGGTAATAGCTACTTCCTTAGAGGGAAATTCGCTAAAATCTAAAGATGATTTGACAATTTGAACAGTCAAAACAAAATATAAACCTTAAACTATGTACAAGTATTTAAAAACAGATTTACGTATGTATCACTAGGATTATCAAATTTAATACTTTGGGTTCTGTTTATGTTTATAATATGTAGATAACACCGATTCTCAGTAACCCTAGAATGTACTTTTATTTTTAGTTCTTTACTTTACTATTTCATTTCATTTTGAACTGTTGACTAAACCCATTTAACTGTATTTGATGTTGGATATAAACTTAACTCAGTAATTCGATAACACAAATTAATCTCCTGTGCTCTCTGTTTTTCCAGACTATTTGTCTTTATTATCATAAAATTTTGATGATTTTGCCTCCTATGAAAACAAATAATAGTACCATATGGCCTTTGGTGAACGGAAATTCCCTATAATAAAACTGTTCTCATATCTTCTACTGTAGACAGATGGATCTACAGTGTGAATCACTAGATCACAGAATTATATTGTCAATAGGCATTGATTTACTTAAGTATCAAGAATATAAGTCGTCATGTCATCTATGCTCTATCAGTTAGATATAGGAAAGACCCATCAACAGACAGTGAGTATGTACAGCCCCGTTTCCGTTAAATTTTGGATTATAATTAAAAATGCATAATTTGTAGCTTGGTCATATTTAGGGAGAACTGGGTAGGCCTATTGATCCATTTATTTATTGTTTTGGAAGCTGTTTTTTTTATAGATTTCAAAACCATTTTACCGGAGAAAGATGAGAACCTAAAAAGATTGTACATGCTACATTGCTAACCTATTACAGCAAAATTGGTTGTATGAGAACAAACATTACTAGCAATCTAGTTTTCTGCTGTTGAAATTGAATCAGAGTACCCACTCAAAACTTGAAATTATTTTTTTCCTTTTCTGGCAGATTTTTAAGATTTCAGGATTGGATTTACAAGATATTAAGGAAATCACTGAGGCTGCAAGGTTTGTGAGGTCCAAAATCCACAATGTTACCGCAATCAGATGAATATGATTGAAAATTGTATTAATCACCCCATCCCTATTTCTTATGTTTGACCACAAAATTTGCAGTTTTAAGGTTTCCGTGATTGAGAGGGTACCATGTAAATACACAGCTCAAAGCTTAAAACATGAACTTTCACAATTCAAAGAACCAATCACAAGGAAGTCGAGGCATCTTGGAAGCAGGCCATGGCAGATAACCTGTAGTTTTGAACACCCAATAGTCATAGAATACCTGAAATAAGTATATAATAATACCTTTTCACAAAGTATATTAAATAACAAAAGTATATGGATTTTTCTCAAACCATTTAAAGACAAGTTTAAATGGTTAACTTGTTAACTTCTACTAGTACTAAAAATTTCAGTAGGATTAAAATTAGGAGGAAAATTATTGAATTTTCAGCTTACAAGGAGATAAATAAATAAATAACCAGTATTTTATAATTTTTGTTAATCCTAAAAGGTAAGGATTTAAAATGTTAGTTTTATGAATTGGAGGGTGGAACTGATGGTTGCATGTGATCTAACCGGGCCTTGGTTAGTTTGGAAGCTAAACACAATATCTACTGCTAAGACCCATACAACTGAAATTTAGAATTACATGTTTTTCCTTGGCCATATATGTCAAGTAATGGTTTTACTTAATTTAATCAGAGCTTGTTCCCAGATTAGTTGACAGATTTTAATGTATGAGCATTAAAGATGAGTATTTAGATTTCTTGGGATTTATGGTTACAAACAAACTAATCAATTTCTTTAACAACTCTTAGACAATGATTATAAATTTCAGTAATTGAAAGATAAGGCTATTAGTTGTATTAGCTTTTAAAACTCCTTCAATTTTGTGGTTATTTTCTGAAACTTAATACCTATACATAGGACTGTGTGTCTGTTAGTTTTATGCTAACAGCTTTAGGTTGATAAGATGATACCTTGACAAAAAGTAGGACAAAAAGCAATATCTCCAGAGCTATGATGTAGTAAATATAGTCCGTCCAATCTCGTGGATACACACAGACTTTAGACTGTTCCAAGTCAACCACCTGAAAATATTGCAATAAAGTAAACATAGTATAAATCATATATTAAAGATAATATTGTTCTTTACAATCTATATCTTTATACATTTATTAGGTGTATGAACATATAAGTTTTTACTTTGATAACGGTTTTTACTTTTAATGTTTACATATTTAATACAGTAGGGGAGAATTTAAAAGTTGTTGAGTGCACAGGTGTGCTGCGATTGGGATTTAATATATTTGGACTTATCTAAAAGTAAAATAGTTTTATGTGCTGCATTCTGTGGAAATATTGTGGTACTATTCCAAATCATGACTAATACCATTGACTATACACAGAATAGACTTCCCATGTAATGTTAAAATTTGAAGCAAAGAAAATAGATGAGCCATCTCACCAGATGTTACTAGTGTATTGGGTTAAATATTAATTAAAATCAATGCAGTGTCATAGCAAACAGCTGATTGATTTATCACTTAACACAGAATATTGTCATTAGCTGGTGACCATCTCAATAGATTGCACCACAATTTTTGGCTTTAAAATTTTCTATTAGGTACTTGGGAAGTCTATTATGTGTATAGTCAATGCTAATACAGAATGTTGTAATTATTCAAACCAACAGTTGGTGAAAGTAAGCATCTGCTTTTAAATTATATTTATTTGTAAACATTGTAGTTCCAAAAGCCTGACATTGGACTCCTTAAAAAACCCTCTGGGGCGGAGCCCTTATGATGGATCTGCTCCAAACTTCATACAAACCATTCTTGAATAATGCTTAATAAGGCCTGAAAGTTCCATTACAATCTGTCGAGCGGTTTCGGAGTCAATAAGGCACATACATATATGGGGTAGCGGATTTTTATCCCCCTGGAATTTTACCCCCTGGGCAATCGTGACGTCACAAACCAGGGGGTAAAATTCCGGCCGGGAACTTTTGAGTATTGCGACATCATTTCGATGGATTGAACGTGGAATCAACCTATATTTTCACGGTTCTGAATTTAATCAGACCACATCGAATTATAAAAACCTAGATTGTACGGGCCGGATTTTTACACCCGGATTTTTACCCCCGGAATTTTACCCCCGGAATTTTACATCCCAGATTTTTACCCCCGGAATTTTACCCCCTGGTCGGATATATAAATTAGTGAGAATAGTTAATTATCTTCATTCAATTTTAATTTAAAAGTAAACATGTTATTATTTAGTAGCCTTTCTCAATTTATTTGTAACAACTAATCGAACAGGTTTTAAATTTTAATTTTGAGATTCGAGTATCAGGATTCAATATTTGAAGCCAACTGTTGGTTCATTATGACATACAAACAAACATCTGAATGGTAATTGTTTCGAAGATTTCTTTAACAATTTATTATACAACCACGGTAAAACAATGTTTTTGTTTTGTGTAATTGTACAACAGAAACGAAATACATTGTTTTTCACGGTGGTACAAAGAAATCGTTTAAGACATGTTCACCCTATTGTTATTTAAATGAGCTACTCAGTTTATTTTTCATACTTATTAACCAACAGTTGGCCCCAAACGTAAATCCCGAACATCAAAATTAAACAGCAAATTATGTTTACTAAGTTAAGATTACAAAATAAATAAATAATAATAGGCTACTTAATAATAAAATGTTTAAAATTGAATAAAAACAGAAATAAGAAAATAAATCATTCTTAATAATTTATATATCCGGCCAGGGGGTAAAATTCTGGGGGTAAAATTCCGGGGGTAAAAATCCGGCCCGTACATCTTCAGTTGTATAAACGCTAGTTATATGGACGGGGGTAAAACTCCGGTTTTTATTGATAATCAAATTAATCACGCTCTGTCTATTTTCATTAGACTTCCAAATCCGCGGGGGCAAAATTCCGCACGCGAACAAACTTTTGAGTGCTCAGGTTACTACGTCATAGTGACGTCAGCTTTGACTAGGGGGTAAAATTCCAGGGGGATAAAATTCCGGCGACCCCATGTAGTTCCTATTTTATAGATATAGATAGATATAAATATAAAATATAAGGACAGACAAAATCATATATTTTCAAGCTCAGATGTTGGGGAATTAGGTATTTTCGTAATCAGAGTGATGAAATAGTATATTTCATAACAAGAGTAGAAAGTGAGTCATTACATATTTAAAACCATGTTTGAAGTATGAGGTTTATCGAGCACTTTAAATGGTCAAGAATATGAATGGACCACTTTCATCTATGTTTTGAAAGTTACTTTTCGCTACACTACAAATAATAATTATTTTCTTCATTACAAAACTTATCAAATTTGGTAGGTTATGCCTTAAATTTAAAGTATATGTTTACTTTGGTTGTTGAAAATTGGAACAGTTGATAAAACAATAACAACAAATGAATATTTGTTTGTTTACGTCGGCAAAATCCAAAAAAGATAGTAAGTAAACATAACTTTTGCATGGTAAATATTCTTTTGCCGTAGTAAACAATGTAATGATAGATTTTCGCAGGTGATAAACATGCAACGAAAACATGTCATTTCACAGTAGTGTAGCGGAAATATTTTTTCCCTAAATTACTGGTAATGAATTTACTTGATTTTTCACCCATAGTTATTACGATTTAGCACTTTAACCCTGTGAGCACTAGTGTGCTTATAGCGGCACTTGTGTCCAGAAACGGTGGCATGGTAGCTCAGTTGGCTAAGGCGTTGCACTGACAACAGATGTCTTTCTACATGCGCGAGTTTGAATCAAATCATGTACGTACATGTGCAAAATCCGTATTAAGCTTAGCTTAATAATGTGTGGCTTAGCTGGTGTGTAGGGCCAACCTCAAATAACAGTGACCAACTTGGGTGAAAGTTAAGGGAATTATTGAATTAAATAGGTATTGCACACAACACCAGCTGTCTTGATTCTTTTTACATTAGTTTAAAGAAGAAAAACACCGATTTATCTTTTTTGGCTTTTATTTTGGTTAAATATACACATATCATGATGTAATAAATGTATGATAAAATACATAAAAGGACATAACCTTAACAAATAATTAAAGGAGAAATAAAAAATAGGCTTAGGGGTTTAAGTGTTGATTATAGACGTATCTTATCTGTCTTATCTGAACATATCAGCAATTGTTTTATAGTGACCTGTCGATGCATAAGGTATACATATATTGGTAGATAAAGATATATAAAACCGGTACTGAATTTAATAGAATACATTTAGGAAAACTTACCTTCATGTTGTTAAAGTTTTCACAGTAAATTTCTCGATAATCAAGGATATTCTTTTGGTAGTGAAGTAGCCAAACCTGAAAGTAAAGTTTAGTTCAAAAGAAAAAACACATCAGCTTCAGAAACACCACATAATTTAGGATATTGGTTATTGTAGGATAATATTTAAAGAAAAATTAATAAATTATATTAACAAACTTTAATTTTGCTTATTTATGGCATAAAATTTGTCATCAGCCTTCGAATTACAATTATCTACCAAATATCTGTGCATATACCGTATTTACAGAATCCACATTGTTGCTTTAGAGCAACTAGTTTCCATTATGCCAAGTTAGTAGTGGCTAGTGATAGAAGGGACAAATATAGAATATTATTATTTGTTTGTGTTATTTTCAGTAAAAACACATTTGCAGGAGTTTAAATTAAATGAAATACAATAAGAGCCTTGACAATGTAGCCTTTATTTTATGTATGTGCATATATACAGAGTGATTGATATAAGTGTGCCAGTTGTTTGATTTGAAAACTACAAGAGATACCTATTAAAAAAGTTAAACGGTAGGTGCCTCGGATTTTTTGTTTTAACAATTTTAGTAAAGTTAAAAAAAAATATTTGAGCCGCCATTTTCCAATATGGCGAACTTAGATTTTTCTTATGGAACACCCTGTATTTTACTATCGTGTTTTGTTTTTTTTCATAAACCTTACCGTTTAAAAGATAATAATAATGGATAAAGTTGTAAAGTTTCGGCATGAGACAAATTTTCAATGTAAGCGTGCCAGCTGTTTTATTCAAAAACTATAAGAGATATCAAAAACAGTTAAATACTAAGTGCCTTGGATTTTTTATTTAAAAATTGTAGTCGAAACAAATATTTTAGCCGCCATTTTTCCAAAATCGCCCCCAAATTTGATTTTTTTATGGAACACCCTGTAATTTATGATGTATTCCGGTAGAAAATGTAATTTTAAAACAATTTTAGTCTTACAGTATACTCCCTCTTATCCGGACACCTTTTAACCAAACATCGGTTTAACCGGACTACACTCGGCGGAAATGACATCTCTTTAAACCGGACAATTTTTTTCAGCACATTGGTTTAAGTGGGCTTTATACCTCCGTGGCTACTCAGCTGTACAACTTCTGTGTTTAGCCAACAGTCCCCGTAGTTCCATATTTCGCCAGTGGTGCGCTGAACGAGCCGCCCCCAAAACCGGTTTTGGACATTGCTACCAACCCTAAGGGAATGTATGGATTCGTGTGGGAGTTGAACATCACAAACTGCTGCCCTTCCGACACCTCGCTGCACTGGTCTTCTATAGCTCAGACTTTCACTCTACTAAATACTAATGTAAGGTCGGATGTCGTTCCGAACTCACACTTGCCCTTGTTAGGCTGGGCCACAGACAAGGGAAACACACTCTTATTTCCTTAGTGAATGGCTGGGCGCACACTGATCCAGCATTTCACCTGAACCAAAATGTTGCACAACGATTTGCTTGAAGCGTTTTGTTTATTTGTTCTCCAGTCTGCGGGAGGTGCAAGCATGATTCAGCATTTGGTTTCAAGCAAAAATAAGAAAAAATAAAAAATAATTGTACTGGTATTCTACTATAGTTTTAACTATAGTTCTATAGTTTTAACATGTGTAACGACGAAGTCAACGTAGCTATTCATCCAGTAACCTAACGCAATTTACCTTGCATGAAATGGGGTAGTAGGTTTCTTTTTTTATGTTCTTTGTAATGGTACCGAGATGGTAAATCCAAATTTTCGACCTCGGCAACCTTCCGGATCACCTCCAAAAAGCTTAAAAATCGGCGGAATTTCTCACTATTTTTACGTTCACCCGACCGATTTTCATGAATGCCGACATCAAGTATCAGCATATATTTATCTGCTGTATTACTCGACCAAAAAACATAAATTTGATTTATTACTTTCTCCCCCTATACCACAGTATATGGAGAAAGTATTGTTTTCGTCAAAACTTTCGAGTTTGAGTTTTGAGTGGATATATTCGTTTTGGGCCCCCCTGGACCCAAAAAAGTGGTTTTCGAAGTGATGTCTGTGTGTGTGTGTGTCTGTGTGTGTGTCTGTGTGTCTGGATGTGTACAGAGCTAGGGACTACACATGTGGTCCGATTTCGATGAAATTTGGTATGTAGCTTCTAATCCATGGTATCTCCAGGCGTTTTTTTCATTTTTTTGAAATTTTGATTTTCAATGGGGATTTTCCCATAAAAACCCATAAAAAACCGGAAAAATCGAATTTTCTCAAAAATGGCCCGAACGATTTTGATAAAAATTTAGTATGTTGTAGCCCTTTAAATTCTGAACAAAATGGTACAAGTTCCATTTCTCTAAAAATTGCGGTTCAAAAGTTATGGTAAATTATGTTATTTTCCCATAAAAACCCCGTAAAATAACGAAAAATAGGATTTTAGAAAAAAGATCCGGTTTTTATTTAACATAGTATGTTATGGTCCTTAAAGTTTTGATAGTTTTTTCATTAAAAAAAAAAATGATTTTTTATGGGAATTTTCCCATAAAACCCCATAAAATAACGGAAAAATAGGATTTTCCCAAAAACGGCCGGAACGATTTTGATAAAAATTTAGTATATTATAGTCCTTTTTATTCTAAACAAAATGGTACAAATCCCATTTCTGTAAAAATTACGGTTCAAAAGTTATTGTAAATTATGTTATTTTCCCATAAAAAACCCATAAAATAACGTAAAAATCGGATTTTCACAAAATTGGCCCAAACGACTTTGATAACAATTTTGTATGTAGTCCTTTAAATTCTGAACAAGATTATACTAATCCCAATTCCGTATACTTACTCTCACCGCTTACACAATATGATAAAGGTTGTTGATAAACTTATGGGAGAAAGTATGTGTCAGAATGCTGTTACCGTTTATTTTAGAATTCTTACCTCAATGATGTAGTTCACCATATATAGTAATACAATCCTATTTTATATTTTGGTCTAAGAACCTTCAGTGACATACTGGCTTTCATTAAAGCTTTTATATTTCACACGAGTTTCAAGCAAACACAATGTAGAGAATCAACATGAAAATTATATCTTATAAGGGTTTTCTATGATTAAAAATCAATAGCTTCAGTATTGTTTAGGTTTTTGTATGTTTTAGACTCAAAATTATCAGCAAATTATAGGCTTTGACTTACTTGACTTACTTACACTTTAACTTGAGCTTTGACCGTTTGATTTAGATTTGTTCAAGATTCTGTATTACTCAATCAAAAATCATAAATTTTATCACTTCTCGGATATGGTATTCATTTCAATGCTGCGGAGCAGCATGGTCCTTTCCTCTATATATTTTTTATAGTTAGTATATGGACTTTGTGGGGTTTTAAGGACAGAACCACGTGTTTTAATGCCAACAAAGTTTATGTGTTTACATGGTAATACATACAGCTTTGTAAGTAATAGTGTCTTAGTTGATATTTTTTATGTGATTGCCTAAAGAATTTTTAATATTAGTTTCTATAAAAAAGTTATGAATTAGTTTGAATGAAAACCATACTCGTTAACAAAATTTACATATAATCCACATAAACTAGATTCCTTGAATAATTGTGGAATTCATGATGTGTTCGAAATGCCGCTACATAGCACATAGTTAGATCTTGTCAAGATCAACAAGGACGACTAGGAAGCACAGCAATTTTAGCTAAAACTCGACAGCTTAATCCTCGTATTTGATCACCTTCCGATTTATTATAACAATTATTAACGTGTAACATAGGTTACATAGGTTATAGATAAACGCTTGAATCAATGCAAATGTGAATCTCAATATAACTTTTGTAACGATAATTGTAGGTAAAAATAATTATGAAGCTCGATGTTGAAGGTCAATAAAAAATGGCGGATATCTGGTTAAGAAGCGATTTTGGAAAAAATGTTTTTTTTTATTTTCTGTTTATTTTGACCCAAGGAATCAATAGGTAAAATAAGTCCCCTCCTTTTTTAAACACCCTGTATATGATGTATTCTCATGAATTTAAGTGAAAAATGTAAGCTGGGAATACAGAAAGATGGTTTTTTTAAATAATATGAATGTACTGATGATTTGTATATTCATCTTTTTCTTGTCCTTAGAACTGTAAAGTAAACGTCCACTCAGCAGGCGCATCATACAATATAGTTTCTTTCCATGCTAAATTTCCCTTCCTCTTTAACCCAAGTTATTTATTAAACCACTGATTTTAAAAAATTCCAAAAATTATATTTTACGCATCAAACTTTTGGCTACAACTTTGCCACAGACAAAACCTCTCTAACCAAAAAATAAAAAAGATTCTCGCATGCTAACTTTTTCATGTTACAAATCACGATTTAAAACTATTTCACCATACATATAAATTTGTATTAATTAGATCGGTAAATAGTTTGAAGTTCCAACAAAACAGTCATCAAGTAGGACTAACCAAGAAGCCCTGTGCCAATTTTAAAAATTTTAGCACAACTTTAAGTGCACCAAAACACGAAATTATTGAAGTCATGCGTCCAGAGGACTATCGTTGTTTTTAACAGAATATACTTTTGACCTTCCGGCACTGTTGACTCAGCCAAACTGAACTTATATTTTATCGTATTTCGTCATATTAAAACTGCTGTTGCATTAGGTCAAATTCCCAATGTGTCAATCGCTTTAACATAGACTAAGTTTTTAGCACGGACTGTATTATTTGACTTACTGGGATTTTTGATCTACAGACACTGCAAACATTGTAGTTTTTGACCTATCGGCACAAGTATAAATTATTTGACCATCCGGCACTGTTGACTTTCTGCAACGCGTCCGATAAAAAGGCTTCCCTGATTGAAATATGGGAAATTGTTTTTGTCAAATATAAAGACGGCAAATAAATGTGTTTGGAGATAAGCTTAGTTCTTGGTCAAAAACGCTAAATTAGCACCCCGACCCAGTTATTTTTCTAAGTTTATGCTCCTTTTGTAAAGGTTTAACAAAATTAGTGTAAAGTAAAGACATTCCATTGACCAAACTTAACCCTAGACGCGCTGTTGGCCC